AATACACGATAAATATAATTTTGAGAATAAATCATCATTTTGTTTAAAATAATTGTGATGCAATTTTATTAACTACAAATGTTCGATTATTTTTTTACATATACATATTCTACTTATTAAGGTCTCGTTTGAGAATAGACTATTTTAGTAACTATTTGATTTTTTTGGCTAAATTATGAGGTAAAAAAAAATATGTTTGGAATAATTTTTTAATTTTTTATGAAAAGATTTGTAAAATATTTAGAAAAAATGAAATATTTAACTTTTTATAGATTATAAATTTTTTAACTTTTAAACTAAAAATATTACATGTGAAACGAGACTTAAGGCATGATGAATAGTTCATATCACTATCTTACCATGGGCTACCAAGTCCAACAATATTCAATTAAATTATTATAATTTTGGGAGAAGGCCAAATTACAAAACTCCTTTTGTCTAATTTACGCTGCAACAATGACCAATTAAAAGCAGCAAAACTCTTCGGTACACACACCTTCTATAGTGTGTATCAGATTCATATGCTCCTGATAGAATTATGATAATTTATTGTTTAAAAATAAAATTATATATTTTGTGATAATATTATATTTTTTTTATTTAAATATTTTTTAACTATAAAAATATATAATATATATCATAAAAATAAGTAACAAAATGCATATATCTTTAGAATTTCTTTTAAAAGCATAATCCAATTTGAACAACCCAATTAAAAAATAAAAATAAAAATAAAATTTATTTAAATATTTTTTAACTATAAAAATATATAATATATATCATAAAAATATGTAACAAAATGCATATATCTTTAGAATTTATTTTAAAAGCATAATCCAATTTGAACAACCCAAAATAAAAATAAAAATAAAAGTTCAGAAGATAAAAATTATGAAAAATGTTTGAAAGTCACAATTTTTGTGACTCAAATAGCTCAAAATTGCCAAAACGATATCGTTTTGACAATTTCGAAATTGTTTTGCACTCCAAACGATTTCGTTTTAACAATTTCGAGCCATTTGAACCACAAAAATTGTGACCCTTAACCATTGCTGAAAAATTATACACTTGCAAGTTGCAACAAAGATGAATTAATTTATACACTAGTTGGGCCACTGTTAACCTGAGCTGTCATACATGAACGTGACGAATCTACCCTATCCAAATAGTATATGTGGTCCCTATCACCCACTAAAATTTTGCAATGTCACAATATTCTATAGGTCCTCTCATCCTCTGCCATTAGTGGCCAATCTTCTATAAATATGCATCAAAATCCTCAATCTAGCTTCACTCTCTTGGCCTATCAAACAAGTAAACACAAAAAATTATTGAAGATGAAGCCCCAAAATTTCTCCGGCGATAGCTCTTTGATTCATGAGTCGAAGAGAACGATTGGAGAAAAGTTCAGGCAAGTTTACGAGAAGGCTATAGTTTCCATGATTGGAAATGAAATTCCCATGAGAAGTAGATCTGATCGTGATTATAAATGTAGATATGATCGTTTGTTTTCAAGAGAAATTGAAAGACAAAAAGGAAACTGGAGATATGGTGTGGAAGATCCTATAAGAACTATGATGTTCTTGGGGTCATGGAGTCACACCTAAGCTTTGATTTGGTCCATTTTGATGATATTTCATGGTGGATCTATGATATTATTATGTGATAAATGAAATAAAGATGACCCTTGAAGATTTGTTATTTGGATGATGATTATAATACTGGAAAAGGGTTGTATATCAGTGATTTTAATGTATCAAGAAGGATATTAATGTTAATAAAATAAGAATTTTCTCTTTCTCTTTCTCTTCTATACATGAAAGTTTGCTGTTGTATAAATGATATCAATTGCTTTGTTTGGAGGAGATAGTAAAAAGTCTTCCCACAAATGATAAGTGTAGTGCATCTCAAGTATTGTTTAATATTAAAATTTATGAAAAATATATGTAGTTTATAAATGGTAAAAGGATTAAAACAGTTTTGAAATGAAATCAATGAAAGTGTTTTGTGTTATTCAATTTTTTTTTTTATTTACTTTTTTTTTATGAAGAACACTTACAATGTCAAAGTTTAATGGTTTATTCCTTTCATTATGAGATTCATTCTTGTGTTGATGTAATATTTGTTGTTGTTAGACTTAGAGTATATGTTGTTCTTTTATATAATTGATTAACAAAAAAAGTATCAATTTTTTTTGCTAGAAGATGTTTGTTAAAAGAGTGTGTTTTGATTATGAATTTAAGTAAGCATTTAAAAAAGAAAAGAAAAAAAAGTGGGTGAAATTTAAGTGCACTTTGGGAAGCTAGTTAAAAGTTAGTTTTTGACTTTTAATTCATTTTAAGTTACATTACCTCTCACATTTTTTTACTCACAAAAAGACAAAAAAATCAAAAAATCGACTTTTAACCAACTTCCCAAACACATTTCACCCTTATTTTCACTTTTTCTTTCCAAATTCTTACTGGAATCAAAACTAAAGCAAATAGTATAAATACACAAAAATAGAAAAAAAAATATATTCATTTTAATATTAAAAAAATATATATTATTTTTTTATTTATATAACTAATAAATTATTGATGAAAATAAAACTAAAGTTTCATTTGGGAAGAGGATTGGACTAATTTAGACCACAAAAAGTCAAAATGTAACATTCAAACCATAATTATTTTACATTTTCTTTCACAATTATCACATAAAAAGCTAAAAATTTATTTTACATAGAACTAATTTAACCAGCTAAATTAATTAAAAAGTTAAGCTAAATTAACTTTTCCTAAACGAATGTTAAGTGTTACATAAATTAAAATCTTAACGAAACTCAATGTAATAATACAAAAAAATATATGAAACTTACTATATCATCACCAAACCTGAAAAGAAATTAGTATAATTGTTGGCTATATATTTTGTAAAGGCCAGTTACAGTTCGACACGTGGCAGAGTAAGGGTAATAAAGGAAGGTTATTCAAGCCTTTAATCCTGATCGTACACGTGGCAATAAATATTGGTCCTCACATGATCTGAGTAACACTAGATCAATAACGGGATGTAAGATGACATATCTTCAACGGTTACTCATATTCAAATTCCAGTACAAGAGGGAAGCTCAACTGCCAGTAATGGCGTAATGGAGCTACTTTTAAGGAAGCGTAATCAGCGATCATGGAGGAGCAGTTCGACGGTTCGAAGTGCAGTTCGAAGGTCATCACTGACGAGTATAAATAGCAGGGCAGCCCCCAGGAAAAAGGACGGACTCAGATCATACAAACCAGTCATTTACTTCATATATTTTCTTTTCTAGTCTTTTACATTTCCAGTCTTTAAATACCTGTTCTTTAAATACCTGCACTTTAAATACCAGCACTGCACTTCGATTCATAGGAGTAGCTTCAAGTAGATTCAAGTAGATTGTTGTTGTAAACCTCTCTGAGGCTGAGTTCGGACCATTGTAAGTGTTCATTTTTATGAAATACTTCAATTGTTCTTCATACTACTGTTATTTTCTATTAACTTCTCCTAAATCAAGCCACCAGTAAAAGTCCTCTTCATTGAGGCTGAAAAGAACTAAAACACAATCGTCTGATAATTGGTTGGCAATCACAATTTCTGTAAGGACTGATTGATCCTTACTGGCACGCTCACATTCACAAAAATACCCTTCGAAAAGCCAAAAAGCCAACATATATTTATCTAAAAAAATGATAAATTACAAAGAATTTGTAAAAATACATCTAACTCCATTAATCTGAAATTGTTATGGTTGTGTTTGATTTGTGTTTTGAGATAAATTTTCAAAAAAAAATTTGAGGAGAAAGTTTAGAATTTTTTTTGATTTGTTTAACTGTATATTTTGAAAATAGTTTTAGAATTTAAGAATTTAGGATGATTTGATATTTTATTATAGTTGAGTAGATTATGTGAGAGAAAAAGTGATTGAAAAAAAAGAAAGAAAAGAGAAAAAGTGAGATTTGTAGAAGAAAAAAAGTGATCAAATCCATTTTTTTTGGGGGGATCATCAATTCTTAAAATGAAATAAGTAAAATTCAAATAATTTAACACCTAATTCCTTGCATTAAGATCATTTTTGATGGTTCATCAAATTCATCATTAAATTTGATGAAAAAGAGTTATTTTTTACTCCTCTAATGATTTATGAAATTCATCATCAAATATAATATATATGTATATTTTTTTTTTTCATCAAAGGGCCAAATATATTTTTTAGCAAATTACTATTATTGTCATTAGATTTTTACTATCAAACGTTTCTGAATAGCCATCTCAAAATAAAAATTTATGAAAAAATTATATTGACCAATCGACTGATCGGTCGTCTGCCCGGTTTATTGGTGATTTGATAAAGGAGCAATTTGAAAACTTGATAAAAAACCAGTTTTTTAGCATCTTACCAAGTTTTTTCAAAAAAATCACCAAAAAAACCAAATTCTTCTGTCAAAAAAGCCACCAAAAAAGTTAAAAAATTAACTTTTTACCAACTTCTCAAAACATCCCAAAGTTACAAAACTCAAAGCACGCGATATGAAAAAAACAAAATTTACTCAAATTTGATTAAAAAAACTTAGGTAAATTACAAATACACTCCTTGAGATTTGTTTAAAATACAAATCGCTCCCTGTAGTTCTGGAAATTACATTCCATTCCCTGAGATTTCTAATTTCATGACAAATCACCGCTTTTATTAATAAATCATTAAATCAATTAACAATTTTTATTGATGTTAAAAATATGTTTTAATTAATAATTTAGATAATTTTATTATTATATAAGAAAACAATTATAAATTTTTTTTTTAGTTAATTCTGTTAAAAAATTCTAACAAAAAATATTTATAATTTTTTAAATCACAAAAAATAATTTATATTTTAAACAAATCTCAAGAGTCTAATTGTAATTTATCTCAAAAAAAAAAAACAAAACAAACAAATAAACAAAAAAAAAAAAAAAAAAAAAAAAAAAAAAAAAAAAAAATTTGGAGATGGCCTCACAAAACCAATCAAGTCGTGCACCACTCTTCTTCCTCTTTCCCCCCACCAAAGTCGTTCCGGTCTATCTTGAGAGTATTTACTGAACAAAGTTCAGAGAAGAGGCTCATCCTTGTAATCTTCAAAAATGGCGTCACAGTCTGATCAACATCACAATAAGGAAGCTAACATAATCGACGGCAAAGCAATCGCACAGACGATTAGATCTGAAATCGCTTCCGAAGTTCTACATCTCTCCAACAAATATGGCAAGGTCAACAACCCCTTTCTCGATTTTTTTTTTTTTTTATAGTTGAGATGTGTGTTCTTTATTTAAATTTCGCTCAGTCTTGTTCTTGATTAGTCTGAAATTCGTCATGCTTACTCTCTGTTTGGTTGCCTGGAAACTTTTGATAGACCTGGAAGAAAAAGAATGCTTAAAATTATACATATCCTTGTCTGAATTAGGTTTCCACGAAAACAAAACAATGAAAAGAAAGCAAAAAAGAGTTCGATTCACTGTTCATTTTATTTTTATTTCTTTTTTAGGTCATTTGGTACATTTAAGCATCTTGAAGCAAATCTTCCAATTTTGAGATTTCAAACTTTTTTACTGATTTAAATGATATTTTGACATCTCTAAAATTAAAATAAGTAATCCACCCAATAATATACTGAATTTATTATTTTATTTTATTTCTTACTTTAATATAAGAACTTGTTAGATTGATTTCCAAATGTTTAGATAAAAATAATAAAAACCTCACTTTTATGTGGGTCTCGCATATAAAACAAATGAAGAAATGGAATTGGCATCTGCTCTCCCATATGTGAAATTTGACGTTGTACAGGCAATGCCACAGATATTTGGCCTTTTGTTTGGAGCTTTTTCGTGTCAATATTTACCATTTCACTTGCTATCTAAGAAGAGGAATCTCCGTGCTCTGTTGGAGATGTTCTACGCCTCTAATTATACGGCTTCCTTACCTTTTTAAGTTTTTGTATTTGTTTTTAATTTGATTTAAATAAGGTCCATCCACAACCACATTTTTTAAGATAATTTGGTTAGTAACCCCGCTTTTTCCATACTTCAAATATTTTTTGATAGGACTTGTTTCGAATATTGACTTGTTAAAAACACGGGGACTTCAAATATTAACATATATGTGGTGGAAATTAACAATCATGCATTTTAAAAAACGTGATTGTCAACCAGACTAGTTCGAAAAATAAGTTTGAAACAGCCCTATCTGTTCAAATAAATTTAAAGAAAAAGAAAAAGAAACCCTGTCCGGTGAAGAAGCCTTACCATAGTGTTTGTGTTCTAAACATTAATTTTATTGTTTCTTTCTATTTTTTTGTTAAGTAATTTTATTATACATTTTAAACTCAAAATTGGAATATTTGCTCAAATCTCAGGTCCCAGGACTGGCTGTGGTCATTGTAGGCTGTAGGAAAGACTCTCAAAGCTATGTGAGTATGAAGAGAAAGGCATGTGCTGAAGTTGGGATTAAGTCTTTTGATGTGGACCTTCGGGAGCAAGTATCTGAAGCTGAATTGATTAGCAAAGTCCACGAGTTAAATGCACATCCTGATGTACATGGTTGGTTTGCCTGTTATTTTAGAAGTGGATAGTATATAGTTCTTGTATTTGTCACGCTATTTTTATCAATATCCTTTTGTGAAATAGTTTTGAATTGTTTCTTCTATTCAAAAATTTACTTGTCACTAATGTTCTTCTAAATTATTGTATGTGTCAATCTAGTGACATATCTGGTTAGACGGCTTGCATTACCAAATGCATTTGATGACAAAAATCGGACATCTAAACTTGAGCTATCATGTGGAATGGAAACTGTAGACATCACCTTACCAATCCACATATTGTAGCTGAATATCAGAATTATTCACGATTTTCAAATTGAAAAGTCTTAGAATTAAAAATTTTGTTGGTGCTTTGATAGTATGTAAACAAGCTCATTGTTTCTTAAATCAGCATGTCCGTTTGTTTGTTTGTTAAAATAATCATTCAAAGCAGGGTTTGTTTTGGTGCAGGTATATTAGTCCAACTTCCTTTGCCGAAGCATATAAATGAAGAGAAAGTCTTAAGTGAAATAAGCATTGAGAAGGATGTTGATGGCTTTCATCCTCTGAACATTGGCAAGCTTGCCATGAAAGGCAGGGAACCTCTGTTCCTTCCTTGTACCCCCAAGGCAATATATCTAGTCTTGAAATTCAAATATGCTTATTCTAAAATCGATCCTTCTTCAATTTGTTTTGTTGTTACAACAATTATTAGTTCAAAAAATCTATAGATGTGGGTTTGAACGAGAGTATAGGCCTGTTTGGTGTAACTTTTCTCAAGTTCAAAGTTGATAATCATAAAACAAAAGTTAAAAGCACTACTATCTTAGCTTTCAGATAATCAGCATTTTCAGCTTATTTAAGCTATTTTTGTCTAAGCAGCTCCAATAAACTATACTAAACAGGGCCATACTCTATGATTGAAAATACTTGGACTTATGAGAATTGTTATGTCAACAGGGATGTCTTGAGCTTCTATCACGGAGTGGTATTAGCATAAAGGGTAAAAAGGCAGTTGTGGTGGGTAGAAGTAACATAGTTGGATTGCCAGTTTCGCTACTACTTTTGAAGGCTGATGCCACTGTTACTGTGGTCCACTCGCATACTCGTGATCCAGAGAGCATCATCCGTGAAGCAGACATTATTATCGCTGCAGCAGGACAAGCAATGATGGTAACTAGTAGCGGTTCATATGTTTCTTTATTGATTATAACATTGTTATCACATTTATGTGCAACTTCGTCTTTCATTTCTTGATTTGATTCATAAAATTTTAACTATTAGTTTGGTTCCAGCTGGAATATGCTGGTGGTTGACCCTGAACATAGATAACAAGAGAACACTCATATTCAGCATTTAGCCCTTTTAAAGGGACTCTAAACATCATTCCTTGCAGTTCTGTACAAAAAGTTAATATTGATCAGAGGATATTGGATTTGACCCGATTGGGCTTCGGGCATCTTGTAACCGAGAGAGAGAGAGAGAGTGCTTTAGTGCACACTGTTAATGATGACCTGAACGAGGGGTAACCGGGTTTGGCATTCATTTCATATCTTAGCTTTAGTGGGATTGGTTGGGCTGTTAGGTAGGGCATTAGAACGTATGTAAGAGAAATCAACATTGTTAAATCTCTAAGAATTGAATATTGGAGTCTTTGTCATCTTCTTCAGAATACTTAGAGAAGTCAACATTGGTAAATATTGATTAGAGGATATTGAATTTGATCATATTTTCCCAGAATGATTTGGACTTACACCAATGGGATTGGTTGGGCTACTAGGACATTAGAAACCTATGTAAGAGAATTCAACATTTTTTTTCATCTTCAGAAAACTCAGAGGAATCAGAGTCATCTACAGCCATTGCAAGAACATTATCAGATGTAGATTCAAACGTCTTGTAACCGAATAGAGAGAGAGAGAGAGAGAGAAAGATCTGTTAGGTTAAGTTATTGCTTTCATGTATGCTTTAGTGCACGGTTGTGGCATTTATTTCATATCGCAGTTTTAGTTGGAAATATTAGATCTTTTGGCAAAACAAACATTGATTGCTGAGTTTCGCTCATAATTCTTTTTTAACTTTTGATTTCATGGAAGAGGAGTTTGGTTTGCTGACCTATTTATTTATTTATTTATTTATATAAACCAGGTTAAGGGTAGCTGGATCAAACCTGGTGCAGCAGTCATTGATGTGGGAACAAATGCTGTGGATGATCCAAGTAGAAAGTCAGGATACAGACTTGTGGGAGATGTGGATTTCCATGAAGCATGTAAAGTTGCTGGATGGGTAACTCCGGTTCCAGGTGGTGTGGGTCCAATGACTGTTGCAATGCTACTCAAGAATACCTTGGAGGGTGCCAAGCGAGTAATGGCGCAATGAACCATGCATTCATTTTTGTCAGTAGAATGTTGCTGCTTGTTCTTAAGTAATAATTTTGTGGGACAGCAGTACTAATATATTTCAAAGAAGGATTTTTATGTTGTGTATTTTGCCAAAAATAAATGCTGCGGGTATGTGTTGTGTTGTGTTTGTATTGAAGTACATGGAATTCTTTGTAGGACAAGTGAAGGAAGAGTTTGAATTGTCCATTCATATTATTCTCATTTCATTTTTCTAAGCTGGAGAGAGAAAAAAGTGGTATCACTTCATTTTATTTTCTTATTTTCTCTTTTCTTTTCCATTCCTCTTCAAATTTTCAAGATCAAAACAACAATATAAAACAATTACAAATGTTACATTGAAGTAATAACCCAACTCAGGCTCATGCACATTTTTGCTACATCTTACAAAATTGTGTAATTTTTTAAGATAATTTGTCATATATATATTTTTTTTAATCGACGAAAATCAATAGTTATTAGATTAAAAATTTGTACTTTTTAAGCCTATTTGGACCATGCGATCGTAAAAACTTCGCAGGAAAAAAAAAAATCAATAACAAAAGCAAAAGCAAACTCCTAATGGGTTTCTCAACAAAATTTAGTTTGTGTACAGAGAGTTTTTCAAATTTTTTATTTTTTTTATTTTTCACATCGTCTAAAAAGGGAGCTACGGGCCAATCCTATAAACTGGTCTTATTACCCAACAGGTCCTACTCAAAAAAGTCAAACAATGTTTTTTATTTTTACCCTTAGAGGCAACACTGCAAATTTATCAATGACTTAAATAAATTTATCACTAGTTTAAATAAATTTAACACTGATTTATTACTAATTAAAACAAATTTATCACTAGGATCTTTCCCAATATATATATATAGAGAGAGAGAGAAGACCCGACAACAAAGAGCCTAAATCCTAGAACTAGAAGTGAAGGCAACGACAACTATGAAGGTGGAGGCAACAGTTGTCAACAACGACGATGCAAGTGAAAGTGGAGGTGAAGACGTCAGTGGCGATGGAGGCAAAGACGTCAATGGAGGTGAAAGCAATGGTGAAAGTGGAAAAAGATGCCGGTTGAAATCACTAGCAATGGACAATGGAAGTGGTCAGCAATGGTGGAGGTGGCGGTGGTCAATAACGGTAGAGAAATGTGCAGAGAGAGAGAGAATAATAACCGTTGAATGACCAAAAATATTCAAATCTAAGTATAAAAATCTGAGAACAAAAATGGAATAAGCAAAAATATTCCAAACCTAGAGGTAAAAGAATCTCCATTAAGGACCTGTTGGATAATAACCCTTAAAAATAAACTAGCCTGTAAAAATCCTTTATCTAAACTAGACATAATAAAGACGAAGTCTTACTTTTGGGTTTCAAATGGTAGATTAAAGAGCAAACTAATTAAAAAGGCAAATCAATAAATTTCAACAATTCTCCCAAGTTCCAATTTGCATCCTTCAAAATAAATGGTCTTTTCGATCAAAATTTTTGTATGAGCAATATGGCATAGCATGTTTGCAACAAAAACAAAGAAATCATCATCCACCATAAAATAATAATGTCTCACCTTAAAAGATTAGACCACAGTAATAAATTCACATAAGTACTGGCACCAACACACCCAATCACAAAATAGATAAAGCAACAAACATAAGCCATTATACTACAGAGACTCCAGTTCTCTAATAACAAAATAAGAAAATTTTCTCAAACGGCAAAAGGGCCATCTGCGGTCACCGTTCTCTGACTTCTCTATTGTTGTCGAAGTTCAGTTTTCTTCTTCTGCCAGAGACGATCAACTGCACTGTCAGCATCTCCCTGCAGTAAAAACAACTCGGGATCAGCATAGTTCTGTTTAGGAGGAACTGAACCAATCCAAACTATAAAAACCTTTGAACCAAATCAGACCGAACTAGTGAACCATAAACATGTCACTGTGATGCTTGGTATTGCATTGGCATGCAAATATAGTATGTCTAACAAAACAACTATTAAATGGGATCTTTTCCGTACGGCTATACTTTCTAGAGATTACAAATTTCCATAATAGATCCTTTCCTTAATGTATTTTCTTTTTCAAAAATTTGACTGAAGCCATTTGTGTCGATTTTTCATGAAAGCATTTAAACCAATGTTAATTACTATCAAGTCATGCACTTGTTTTCCTTCTTCAATATTTTTTTCATAAGTTTTACATAAATGCATCATCTATATCAATCATATTTGCATCACACAAAACCAATGTCCAATACTGAAATCCAATAATATTTTCCTCGGTGGTTAGTGGCTATAGAGAGACAAATTGTATGATGACTTGCCCAAAATATTAATATCAATAATATATAAAGATTACTATAGTTTGCAAAGCAAAGAAGCAGACTAAGACAAGTGAAGATAAATCACAACTAAACAAGCAAGAAGAAGAACCTGGGCACGGACAAAACCACAAAGAGCAAAGGTGGTAAATTGACCAGTATAGATGCCATTCTCATCCAAATGTCCAACATTAATCTGTACAGATGCATGGTCCTTTGCAGTAATTAACCTATTTGTGGCGGAACTGCAATTGCATGCAAAATAGTTATTAGCATCACCAATTCCAATACTACACTATAGTATTTACAAAGAAAATCACATACCATTTCCTAGGAATGTAAAGGTCCATGTTTTGTCCCTCTTCGTTCTGCATCTTTGCTGTAGGTTTAAAAGCCCTATAGAAGATTCAAAAACTTGTACAATGAAGTTAAATCAGTACATAACTCTGCAAATTCCAAAAATTAAAAACAAATACACATTAGTTTGGAATCAATAATATTATTTTGCCAAAAAACCAGAGGTTATGGAATTTTGTAAGTGCATTTTCAACAATGTTATGGTCCTTCTGGACACATGCGGCCCACCACAGGTTCTATTTCGTTTATCTGAGTTATGGTGGAGGATACTTATCGAAACCCAACAAATGAGGATACCAATAAATTATATATTACCAACTAGTAAATATGTTACTAATCATTTTTAGTATTTGAAGTTATGGTGGGGTTTCGTGATACCATTGACACTGCTGCTACAATGCAGGAACTGGCACCTACCCCACAATGTCCATAGCCACTACATTTCAATTGCCCACCACAAGACAAGTGCTAACATTGTTAAAATCACAAGCAGTGACACCACAGTATTACTCCATTATTATCCAGCACCACCATTAGTGCAAAACATCTACTCACATCTACTCTCCCTCATTTAAAAATTTAGTGGCCAATGTGAGTGAAGCAATATATATTTATGACATAATATGGATCACAAACAAAAGGGTTGGATTAGCGTGTCTCCAACGAGCTCTTCAAAATTGTGTATTATATGGCAAAAAAATGATAAATGTGGTGCTTAATTTTGTGCCAAGTGTTTTTTAGTTTAGAGAGTGAGTGGGTAGCCTCAACCACTATACCTTCGGCTTTAGCGTCCCTTCTTTCTCCCTGTTGCTAACTACATTGCCACAGTTAGCAACAAAACTAGCAAAACAACTAATTAGAGCATCCCCAATGGGCTCTCTAACTGACTTAACTAACACACATTTTCTTTTCGCCTCCAATGCATGAGTTAACTTGTTTGTTAATTAGTTTTCTTGCTAGCTTTGTTGCTATGATGATACAATTAGCAACATAGAGAATGAAAGAAGCGGTGCTGAAGATGAAGGTACAGCCGCCGAGTCCACCATATTTTTCATTATTTTTTAATTATTTTATTTTCTATAAATCTTTGTTGTCAAATTGTGAATCATATCGTGAATCAAAATCCTAATTTGTGAATCGTGAGTCGTTAAGGTTCAATACAAACAAACTACATAAAAATAATGTTAAACAATTGTATATACAAGAAAAAAAAAATGAAATATATTGATTTCGGCATATGTTATAAAATAGTTCTTATATAAAGGTATGATTACATCGTCTAATTGGAAGACATTGGCTTCATATCAAGAAATATAAGTCCACATCCTACCAACTATGAAATTATTCAACAACTACAATATAATCTCGCTTGACATTCAAAATATAGACCTAGGAACCCTATATAGAGTCTAATATGAAGAAAGAACTAAGTGAGATATTTTATTATAAAACTTAAAAACATTTAAAAGGAGTGTATGGTTATTGTTCAAAAAAAATATTTAATAAGTTGCAGAATTATTGCATTTGGCTTACCTGATCCATGCACTATTAAATCATATTTATTTCACTAAAAGAGCGATAAATTATTTATTTGTTTAAATTACTTTAACCTTGAGCATCTTTAGACGATGTAATATGACACTAAAATAGCAATAGATAATTCATGGATTTGTTGGGATCCTACTAAAAACTCCACGATCTTCAAAAATAACAACAAATCATGCATAAGTATAGGTTGTTTTCATACTAAACATACTTGGAAGAAGTTATATTATGTCATTTACACTAAAAATAAATAGTCAAAAAAATATCAAAATTTGTCAAGCAAGTTTGTTTCAAGAATTACATGAATTGTAAAAAGTGAAACTAATCGTGATTCACCATAAATTCTACACGGTTGCAATTTTGCCACAATTATCTATTCAAAACCGCCCTCATCCATACAAAAATTCTTTTTTTTAATCCCTATATTGGATAAACAAATGTATATAACAAGATAACACAATTAGAACCCCTGACTTTGATACAATTCCATGTAGTCTAAAACTATCCAAAAAGTTCAGGGTGTTTTGCTTAAATTAAATTTTCAAACTTTTCAAAAAAATATAAAAAAAATTACATATTGAAGGGTGTCAAATAGGCAGGGCAGAATGCAAACAGCATGGGCATGAACTCATAAATTAAAAGTTAATAACAAAAATTTAATAAAATCCCTCCATCCTCATACCAATCCATCAAAATTTAGAGAGAGAGAGAGAGTACCAGAGACGTGAGGTCGAAGCGACTGTCTTCGAAAATGAGAAGGCGAGGAGGGGCGACGGCGATTCCTGATTGTATTTATACCCAAACGAAACGAAACCCTAGACTTTGATTTGATGGCCTTAGGAATCTTACCAAACGGCGACGTTTCTGCACCTTGAACTTGACCACATAACAAAAATAAATGATTAATTCGTTCTCAAAAACAAAAATGATTAATTAAGCATGATACCCTTATATTTAAGACGTATGAATTACTTATGAAATTTATTTAAGAATATTGCTACTTAGGTCTGAAAATTAGGCTTATCTTTTTGTAGTCAATTAATTATTTTCTTGATGTTTTATTAAGTTTAAAAAATAGACTTGTATATTATTTTTTTTATTTAAAATATAAATTGTTCTTTATAATTTTAAAAATTATAATATTTGTTATCATAATTTTTCATTTAATATAATTAATAAAAAAATAATTTTAATTACTCTTTGATATAATAAAAAAATTACCTTAATTATTAATTAAAATATATTTCTGACATTATTAAAAATAAATAATTGATTTGATTATTTATTAATAAAATGACTTATTTGTTATGCAACTAAAAACTTGAAGGACGAGATTTAATTTTCAAAATTATAAAAGTTAATCCGTATTTTAAGCAAACCTTATAAATATATTTGTAATTTATCATATTTTGATTAAAATTTTCCTTTATTCTTTTCATTTTTAAATGTGATAGCTTATTCTTTAAGTCAAATTATAATTTTCCGAGAACAAAACAAAATTTTAGTAAGAGTGCAACGTTTTAAATAAATTACTAAAATTTTGAAATTTTGATACAAGTGTAATGAGGCTAATGTAATGAAATGAAATAAAATAATCATTTATAATATGACACATTTTTATCAATTTTATTAGGACAAATTACAAACACCCTCTCAAGATTTGGTGAAAATATAGATTCCTCCTGAGGTTGAGAAATTACAAATTGCCCCCTAAAGGTCAAATTTGCATAACAAATTAGGGGAGAATCTGTATGAAAATAAAAATCTCAGGGGACAATTTGTTATGAAAATATAAACCTCAGGAAGCAATTTGTAATTTCTCAAACTTTAGGGGAGAATCTGTATTTTTACCAAATCTCGAGGGAGGTGTTTGTAATTTGTCTATTTTATTTATAGGAGATAAGCCAAGTGATGACAAGGCCTATTTGGTGTAATTTATTGTAAGTTAAGAATTGATAATCAAAAGTGAAAAATATATTTGTCTGAACTTCTAAATAATTAGTTTTTGTTTACCTAATTAATTATAAACAGCATAGCACATACTTTAAAAAGCAATAATAATTTATAAGTAACTTAGATAAGTTATACCATACAATATCATTGCAGCTTGGCTTAAAATGTAAAGAATTAATCGTCACAATTAAAATTAAATTAACTAAAATAAGATTTTATTAACAATAGGGGTGTTAAGTATAATTAACTTAATATTAAAATTGATAAAGAAAAAAGAAAAATAAATAATAAAAAAGGATAGACGTTCGGTTTATATCATTAATAATAAAAATTAAATTAATTCAATAATTTGAATATTTTTATTTGATAGAAATTATTTTAAAAATAGAGAAACAAATATATTTTATTTAAATAAATTATTTATTTTTTGAACACATTTAATAAAATAAAAATATTATAATTATTAGATCTATTTAATTTTTCTTTAATACATATTTATTAAACCTAACCCAATAAAACAATTGGATGGTTCTCTGCACTTGAAAGTGTCTCTCCAATGGCTGTGGCTAACCTTGCCATGTACCACCACTTCTTGTTCCGCTTATCAAATTCAAGAACAGTCAAACCCACATGGATTCCCAACTCAAGAACCCTCTTCACCTCCCAAAACAGAGTCCATCTTTCTCTCCTCCATTGCTCTTCTTCTACTTCGTCTTCCACCGAATTCGACGCACCCACGGCCGAGTCTTGTGTCAATTTGGGTCTCTCTCTCTTCTCCAAAGGACGGGTACCCATTTCTTTCTAAATCTTCACACTTTTTTTTATTATTTTTTCATTTTATCTTATTCAAATCGTGATTCTATGAAATGCGTAACACTGAATTTTGAGACTTTTGGTTCTAGCTTTTGTGTCAAGTTTTGATTTTACTGACTCCATGTGAGTAGGAGTTTTAAGTAAAAAGCTTCCTTTGATAGGAAGCACACCAATAATGTATAAACTCAAATTTGAGTAGAATTGTCAAGTTTAAGTGGAAGCTATGGGTTGGAGTAAAGGAGATTTTGGATAAAAGTGCTCCAAGTGTCAAGATTGGATTGGATAGAAATTTGAGTAAAGGAAATGGTTCTCACTTGATATGAGTTGAACCCAATTTGGTATAATTTTGAGTAATGGAATAAAGGGAATTTTAATCGCTTTTTACTAAAATTTAAGTTTGTCCTTATGGCTTTGAAGTTGTGAATTGTAAATGATTTTAATTTGTCAAGAACCAGCTTTTGTTAATTTTGTAATATTTTATCACTTTTGGGTAGATGTTATATCAGACTATTTGGTCAAGTACATTGCACAATGCACATAAAGTTTTTTTTTTTTTTTTCAATTCTAAGGACAAGCAGCTAGAAAGTTTCATATCCTGTCCATGACAATTAATTTTTCAGGTTAAAGATGCTCTAGCTGAGTTTGAAACTGCACTTACTTTAGATCCTAATCCCACAGAGGCTCAAGCTGCACTCTATAACAAAGCCTGTTGTCATGCTTACAGGTGGCCATTCTCAGCTTTCCCTTCTGTTTTCTTTTTTCCTTGCTATTGAGCGGTTTATTTGATATGTTAATGCTTGATACTACTCAACTGTGTTGAAGTAGCTAGTCGGGTGTATCTGGAAACTTTATTGAAGGAAGATGACTCACCGCTGGTAGAGAATCTACATAAATTCAGCCTAATTTCAATTTTAAATTTATTTAGTTTTCATTCTTTTGCGAAGTTTCTCCAAATTCAGTAGAGTATAGGTTGTATGTTTTTGTTGGTTAATGGGAATATCATAATTATCAGAAAGAGGGGAGTTGTGCACCAACAATAAATGTACAAGGAGGTCTTCACAGGTAAAATCGCCTTATGGACAACCTTACAACCCAAAACAACATCATTATGGTTTAACAACCAGTCCATTGAAATTAACATGGTAGTGATGTCTTAATGCCCCAGAATTTTGTAGAAATTTAACAAATTTTAGTCCAAAGTACCAAATCCTCAACTTCTCAAATGGAAATACATAACTGATAGGTCAAGGGGTCAGTCCTTGTCAAAGGCAAAGATTGATTATTTCTCCCTCATTATTGGGGCTCTTTGTTGAATTGAGTTGTTTATTTGTTTCCGTTGTGAGCTCTTCTAGATGTGTTGTTGAACTATGATTGTTCGATTTGAAGTAATTCTCCTCATATTTGTAAATAATCTCCTACCGATTGACCTCCAAAAAAGTTTTATATGAGGAAAGTAGTCCAAAAGACTGGTTCCTCTCCAGCCAAATTGGGGACATGTCTAGCAAATTTTTCCAAATCTCCCTTAGATGCACATTCCAGGGTGAGGAGTGCTCAGCATCAAATCTACAGGCATTCTGGAACTTGTAAGAAGAACATTTATAATTTATGAAGACTGTTTCAGTATGTGGAAAGGGAACAGGAATGTGTAGCATGAAATGCTGTATGAATGGGTTGACTTATATAAGACAACGTAGTATGAATTTGTTGAAGTATTTCTGGATACAAGATGATTTCATTTTGAATAATAGATTGCTTATGAAACATGATGTTCTTGAAGTGCAACAAGTTTTCTATCTACATTTCAAAACTTCTTGAACCAAAATTAATCATCTAAAGGCACAGAACTAAGTTATTCCAAGTAACTATGTAGGTCTAGTGTTTAATGTGTGATGGCCTTTAGCCGGGGGCCGGGGGGGGGGGAGAGGGGGTTGGCTGGAAATTCAGACACAGTTTTTGCCTTGTATTTCTATGCATATGATGTCACCAGAGCAATTGGATGACATGTGGAGTACAGTGTTTCACTCATTTCTTTCTATCAGGAATAGTTCTGGTTGAAATGTGATATTACATCCTTATTTGAAGTAAGCTGATCAATCCTTCTTTATTTTTGTTTTCTTGAAAAAGAGGGGAAGGAAAGAAGGCTGCCGATTGTCTGCGCACTGCGTTGAGGGAATATAACCTCAAATTTGGCACTATTCTTAATGATCCGGACTTGGCCTCCTTCAGAGCTTTGCCTGAATTCAAGGAATTGCAAGAAGAGGTTCGTTGCTTGATTTGATCTTCATTGTGTTTATCTTTTTTTCTGCTTGTTTGCAATTTTATGAAGCCTGTCAAGGTTGTCATTCAATAAGGTTAAGTTTGCTTCTTGTGTTCTGTTACGTTGAACAACAAATACATGTTATAATTTAAATGTTTAAAATGTAATTGAAGCTTTGTAATCTTGAGTCTTAAGACATTGTGTGTGGTAACTTTTGATTTTATACAGGCTAGGTTGGGTGGGGAAGATATTGGCTACAGTTTCCGAAGAGATCTCAAACTCATTAGTGAAGTCCAAGCACCATTTCGGGGAGTTCGGAGGTTTTTCTATGTGGCATTTTCTGCAGCTGCAGGAATTTCATTGTTTTTCACTATACCTAGGCTATTGCGTGCAATCAACGGTGGTGATGATGCCCCTGATGTATGGGAAACTGTTGGAAATGCTGCCATCAATCTCGGAGGTAGACAGAAACCTCGTTTACTTTCAAATCAAGATATCAAGGCACCATATATATTGTATTCAAATTTACTCATTATTTGCTGTAAAAAATTTACTTGCCAATCATCAATAACCAATTAACGTGTTTCTGAAAATGACTAATCTTTTGAATCAGCAATCCTACAGGTATCATCGTTCTCTCGGCATTATTTTTCTGGGATAACAAGAGAGAAGAGGAACAACTTGAACAAATATCCCAAAATGAAACTCTATCAAGATTGCCTTTGCGGCTCTCAACTAATCGGGTTGTTGAACTTGTGCAATTACGAGATACTGTCAGGCCAGTTAGTATTAACACTTCTCCCTTTGTCTGATTGTTTATGATGAAATTTCTTGCACTACTTAATATAATGAAATAAATGAATAAATAATAATTTGGTAGATAATATGATTCCTGCACACTCTAATTTTCATTTTCATAATGTGTCGATGTTTTAACTGATGGTTGGTTCAGGTTATTTTAGCTGGGAAAAAAGAGACTGTTTCTTTAGCTATCCAAAAGGCTGAGAGGTTCCGGACTGAGCTCCTCCGACGAGGAGTTCTTTTGGTTCCTGTTATTTGGGGAGAAGGTAGTAAAGCACCACAAATGGACAAGAAAGGTTTCGGCACCTCATCAAAGGCAGCTGCTTCTCTCCCTTCTATAGGGGTAAGATTGAAGAATTTTCATAAATATTTGGCATTTCTCATCTTTTCCCTTGGAGCCAACAATTTTCTCTGTTTGTTCTCATTGACTATATTGCATTTTAATTGTGAGTAATATGCTAGTAACGGAATATATATATGCATTGATGTGATGAATGTTGTGTTACATGAACTCTTCTATTCCCCCAAGTACCCATATTCAATTTAGACACTTCGATATTTTAATTTTTTACAATATTTGAAGAAGAAAAACTCACATTTGCTAGAAATATTTCTAACAGTTCACAAGGATGTGAGATAGAAATTTCATATTTGTCTTATATCCTATTTAATATCAAGTACATTTCTACATAATTTACATCTTATCTAAAAATATTATACAATATATGATATAAATTGTCCTTCATGCATCGCTTATGGATATCTAACATTTGGATATATATCTCAAAATCCCAAGATTTAAGTTTTCGTATGACGCTTGGTCCTACACCTGCACCCGATATTCGTACCCAAATCCATGTAACATAGACCGGTGTATGTTATGTGAAGGTTGTGTATTTTCACAAGGTGCATATTTATGTCCAAAATTGTACATGCCATTTGGCATGCCACAGGTTTAGATAGACTTTTCTGCACCATATTGACAATTTTGTATGGGTCTTCAAATTGTGAAGAACTGTGTTGTGTGCGTGTTCCAACCATGATTCAAGGTTTAAAGCTTTTTATTCATTCCTTTGACACTATCTGCATGGCATCCTGGTAGGAAGATTTTGAGAAACGAGCTCAGTCAATAACTGCAAAATCAAAATTGAAAGCTGAGGTTCGATTCAGGGCTGAGGTGGTATCGCCTGCAGAGTGGGAAAGGTCAGCAACTAGTATTTGTTGTCTACAAGGTCAATATATGCATTTTTACTTTCTTTTGAGTTTATCCCTTGAAATCAGGATGTAGATTTGCTTCCAGAAGTAATCCTTGTTTGTTCAGAATTGCAACTAGAATAAATAATTTGTTTTAAACTCCTATGTTATGTCTTGAGGTAATTATGATCATAAGTTCAAACAAAGTTGTAGTATGTTCTTCCATGTTAGAATTTTGTCATCTTCTGGGTTTTGAATTTTTTTTTTTTTTTTTCTTCATAAACTTAATTCAGGTGGATAAAGGATCAACAGATATCAGAAGGAGTTACGCCGGGTGAGGATGTCTACATAATACTGCGTCTAGATGGTCGTGTTCGAAGATCTGGGAAGGTCAGTGCTCAAATTGATACATTTTTCATTCTTTTTCATCTGTTGTTGATCAAGGAATTGGCATAAAAAAAATTGATTATGAAAACGGAACTTTAGAATATTCTAACAACCTTTCTTAGGCTGATTAAGTTTTGGATCCTATCATTGTCTCCTTTGTCCTTAATAATGGCCCAACGGATGTTTGCTAAGTGGCATTAATTTGTCAATTATCAATTAATTCCACAATGCTAAGGCTTGGTTTGGCGAATATTTTTTTAAGTAGTTTTTTTGACTTTATAAGATAAAGTTGTTACTAAAAAAGTTGATGCGCTAAGGGTTATTTTGAGAAGTTGGCTTTTAGCCACTTTTTTTGGTTTGTAGCAAAAGTTAAAAGTTGGTTTTTTTGTCTTTTTTTTCATTTGAGAAGTTGGTTTTTAGCCAACGGGGAAATTACAATTTTACCCTCATGGGTCAAAATGTGTTACATAGGTGAAGTTGTAAATATTTTAAATAAATGGGGGTAGTTTGGTCATTTTATTATGATTTGACATCATAAACAAACATTAATCAAAAAAGTCAAAAGTCACTTTTTATCAACTTCCCAAATCATTTGTCTAAAAAAGCCAAAAATTTGGTTAAAAGTCAAAAAGCCACTTTTTACCATCTTCCCAAAATAAGCCTAAGTAAATACTAAAACAATTACTTTTTGTTATTGGGAAAGTTAACGTGTGATTTGGATTTTTATTATTTTTTAATCTTTTATATGAACTTTTTTGAATGTTTTCCAAAAAAAAAAATTACTTTTGAAATCCTTCTAGACAAGAATGATTTGGAAAGTGAAAATATTTAATAAAAATTTTACTAAAGATAAAAATTGTGAAAATATGTAACTTTTTTAGCACTTGTCAAACATGATGAATCTTATTAACAATTTTTTTTAGAGAATAACAAATCAGTGTATATTTTGAAGCAAAAAAAAGAAAAGAAAAGGATTAATGATGAGTTTTACAAACTTTAATTATTAAGGTCATGAATTTCTTCATGTGTATGTAATTACTTTTTGAAAATACAACTAATTTGTAATTTTCCCAAAAAAATACCCCCTCGATTGTCAACTTAATAAGCTAAACCCAAATAGCCAGAAAATGACTTTTTTGTGTGGTTGAAAAACCCAAACATTGCCTAACTTATAAAGGATAGTTGCTGGGATTTGATAAAAAAAGAAAAGAAAAGGAAACCTTTGTTTGCCATCAGCCAAAAGCTGAACTAACATACCTTTCCTTTAGCCACCAATAATGAATTAAGTTCCTTTCCTTCGGCTCTCTCCTTAACTTTCTACTTGTTAGATTATTGAGTCCATTTTTAGATTTAATTTTGATGATCTGAACTATTCACATTTTAAGATTTGTTGATTACATCATATCTATAAAAAAAATTGAGTTGATCGGATATCAGAAAGTAATGTGTTTAGAAAACTGTTTATTATTTTTTTTAAAAAAAATAGTTTGTAGTTTGATGATCCGAACATGTAGTTTCTGATATTCGATCAACTTGATTTTTTATAAATATAATATACTCAACAAATCTTAAAATATAAACGGTTCGGATCATCGAAATTAGACTAAAAGTGGACCCAATAACCTACTAAGTAGGAAGTTAAGGAGAGATATGAAGGAAAAGATCTTGATTCACCAATAATAGCCAACATATGTAGTGTTGCAGCAATCTCATATGTCTCTGAATTTCCAGTCTCCCCAAGGCTTGTCTCTACCATACGATCAAATTAGAGAGATCGATCCTGTGATAAAGAGGTAGTTTGGGACAATGAGACATGGGAGGATTGGAAATATAATATTTAATCCTAACTCGCACCCTCTGTTTTGCAGGGCATGCCTGATTGGCAACAAATTGTGAAGGAATTGCCACCAATGGAAGCATTACTAAGCAAGCTGGAAAGATAACACGAGTTTGCGCGTTTCATCCATGTTTACTGTAAATTCTTGATAAATTCAATACAAAAAATGCATTATCTAAGTTCAAACCCTTAAAATTTAGAAGTGTTAAAAAAAATTAAAAATTAAAAAATCTAAATATCAACAAATGCATTGCATAATTCTACCCTTGTCGTGAGGTCTTCAATGCAGGAGGCCCTAGACCTCCTTGGTTTTGTTAATCTAAGTTTTGTTTTGGGACCTTGACACCCCACCTGCAACGTTGTTGAGTTAATGATTCTCTGCTATCATATTGGTATGGATACTATTATATATCAGTACGGCCATATAGTAAAACTTAAAAAAATTAAAATATGAATACGGTTGGGATATGTCTATAAATTTTTATTTCTTATAATTTAATTCCATCACTATCATTCCCTCCACTAACAATTAAAATATTGTCTACAGATAAAATTTTATTTAATTTCATCACTATCATTCCTTCCTCTAACAATTCTCTCACTATTAATTTTCTTACTATCAATCTTCTCTATTCTACGTCTAAAAACAAACGGATCCTATGGTTCATACTTCTCTTCCCCGATTGTTTGGAATCTTGTGAACAATGCTTTGGCCTTTGGGCATATGGAGTTCAATTTATTGTTTTTAATTACTTGTGAAATTAATCTATGTTCTAGGAATGAGAGTGTGGGGATGGGAGAAGAATATCATATTAGTTGAGCTTTTCATAACTACCCACACTTTTGCTATGGCTTCGTTTGGGAAGTGGTTAATTTTTTGGTTTTTTGACTTTTTTAGCTATTTTAACCTGGATTAAAAAACTTGATTTAAGAAGAATTTTTTGATTTTTTTGACTTTTTGAACTTTTTTTGTGAGAGAATAGTGTAATGATTATGGATTGAATGTGATGTTTTATTTATTGGGATTAAAATAGTCAATTTTATGTTTTATAATTAAAATAATTTAAAAAAAAACCCATAAACTAACTTGCCAAACGGAAGTTATATGTGTTCCAGCAGATTTGGATCTCATTATTAGTTTTTAGTCCTCTCAGGCCCCGTTTGTTTTCAGAGATGGAATAGAGGGGATTGATCGTGAGGGGGATTAATAGTGAGGGGATTGTTAGTGAGGGTCGTTTATTTTCAGAGATAGAATGGAGGGGATTGATAGTGAGGAATTGTTAAATTATTTTTATATAAAATAATAAAATAAATAAAAAAAATTATTTTAAAAAAATTTTCCAATATATAAAAAATAAAAAAAATAAAAAAAATTCTAATCCCCTCTCTATTTTTCTAATACCATCTCTACCTCCTCACTATGAATCCCCTCCCCAAGGGTATTAGTAATACCAAGGTATTAGTAGTACCCTCCCTTATCTCTCAAAACAAACAAGGTAATAATACCAAGGTATTAGTTAGTCTCAAGGTATTAATAGTCCTAAGGCTATCTCTCAAAACAAACACCCTATATACTAATCCCAAGGTACTAATAATCCTAATCCCCTTGCTATAACCCAAAACAAACGGGCCTCAATGCTCTCAATCTGTAAGGCCAGCTCTTTTGGCAATAACATTGCTTGGCCATATGTGCCAGTGCCGGCCACTTTTTATCTTTTTACTATATTATATTTATTGTTGGCCAGTACTAGATCTGAATTAAAAAGTATTGTCTAAACTCATACAATTTATTTCGATAATTTAAATTACTTATTTTATAAAAATATTTTATGTATATCATTTATATAATAATTAAGTTAATCTGATAATCGTAATCTATTCAATTTATAACATTTATTTTTTTAAAAAAATGAACAAGTATATTTTTAAAAATAGACTATATATATATGTGTATATTTTTTTTTTGTAACAAACATAACAAAATAAAGAGATTACGATTATTATATTGATTTTTTTTTAATTGGATGATATATATGAAAGACCCGACAGAATAAATAGTTCAGATTATCAAAACATAGCTTGTGGTAAGCTCCATGGGACCGATGAACTAGAGGAAAGCCTAAATTTTTTTTTGTTACACGAAATTTTGTTTTAATGCACTTTCAGTCACGTTATCGTGCTCCAAAATTTAAATTATATTTTTATTACTTTCCAGTTATCATATGAAAATTACTTTGGTTTCTCGTCTTTTAAAATATATCATTATATTAGAATTTAAATTTATATTAGAAGTAAGAATTATATATAATAAAATATTTTTATGACACATAGTTATTAATGTGTCATTTTTTATTTAATTTTGAATATAAATTAATTTTTAAAGTAAATTAGAAAAAACTTGAAATATGAAGGACAAAAGTGAAAAGAAGAAAAAAAAAATGACCAAAGAGGGAAAATTGTAATTTATCCTTTTTTAATGTGGGCCTATCTAGCAAAAAAATAAAGTGTATGTTTTGAGAAACATATACCAAAGGCTTTTTTGTAAAATGTAGAACCTATTTTATACTCATAGGTGGGAACCTTTTTTATTCTTTTTTTATTTTTATTTGGTGGAGAAAAATTTCAAAGTAGACCTTGTGAAAAAAAATAATAATAAATAAAATTGTATATGACTTTTGATTATGTTTAAAGAGTTTAGAGAAAAAGACCTAAAGTTCTTGCTTTCATGGACTTTACATGAGCCAACCATACACCTAATTTGTAATTTTATAAAGTACACACGTTTGAACCATACAACTTTGCCAATGTCAAATGTGATGGGGAAGGATGACCTACAACCTATAGGCATCATTCACACAAATCTATTATCATCATTTTTTTTAAAATCAATTTTGCTACCGACACGAAAATTAAATACAAAATACAATACTTAGCACTGACTTCTCCTAAATAAGCTCTATAAATTTAATATACTTATATAAAACTCCCCTTAAGGTTTAATTTCATATAACATTTAGCATAATTTTTTATTTGAAATTCATTAACCAAATGGATAGAAAAATGATATTATCATATCTTTTACACTAAAATACATGCTTAATACTGTTTATCTTCAATCTAAATAAAAACAAAAATAAAAAAAACACTGCTTATCTTTGGGTTGGTTTGGGAAGTGGGTTGGCTTTTTGATTTTTTGGCTTTTTTGACTATTTTAGCCTGAGTTAAAAAGCTTGGTTTGGAAAGGACTTTTTAACTTTTTGATTTTTTTGACTTTTTTTGTGAGAGAAGAGTGTAATGATTATGGGTTGGATGTGATATTTTATTTGTTGTGGCTAAAATAGCCTATTTTGTCTTTTGTGACTATTTTAGCCACAAATCTTCTTCCCAAACGGAGTTACATTATTTGTATTCCCTTTAACATTGCTAAAAGAGAAGTTAATGTAATTATTCTAAAATTTTGGAGTTTTTTGTATTTACTTCAAATTTAAAGGAATGTGAGAATAATGAATAAAATTTTATAAAATTTATTAGTGAATCCATTTTTTTTAATTTAAAAAACTTGTCAATATCGATCGATTTGTATGTGCTCCTAAATTATTTCTTCTCTAATGAAGTTGATTATGATTTGAAACGATGATAGCGTGAAGCATACAAATTACATCAACTTTTGAACTTGTCAATCTTCCATCTAACATCTATATATTTATGTAATAATTTTATATAATAATATTAATTCATCATTTTCTTGGGGGTAGGTTTTGAAAAGGTCATTTTATTCATTGTTCCAACTTCTTGACAGAAATGAGGATGCATTTGAATATGCAATTTAAAGTGGTTAAAACTAAAGAAGCTTCCATGAGGATGTCATTATTTAAGATTCAATTTTTTTATTTTTTTTGTTTTGTATTTTTAATTTTGGTTTGGGGGTAGGTTTTGTTGTTGCTATTGTTATTATTAGTTGGGTCGAATATTAGGACAACCAAAGGTTGTTGGATTTAGACATATTGATCCTCCTACCTTTCATTTTTCCCAAAATACCCATCATTCTATCATCTACTTGCTAAACTAACCTCTCATTGCTTTATAGGGTGTTAAGAAAAAACTAGTCAAATCGACAAATTGATCCGAGCCCATCTGAATTCTATGGTTCACTCTAATTTTTTAAGTGGACGGTTTGGTTCTAACTTTGAATAGATAAAAATCATTAATTATGGTTCAATTTACAAAATTATACTCAAAAGAATTCATTAAACTTTGAATAGTTAAAAATCATTAATTATGGTTCAATTTACAAAATTATACTCAAAAGAATTATATAAAATGAATCAAACTTTACAAAATTAGTCTTTCACAAGGTCATTGCTTCTAAGGGTGGGCGCGGGTTGGTTGCGGCCACAAAACCTCTAAACCGCTATCCGTCTGTCAAGTTGGCGGATTGGAGAAAGTCAATCCGTATCCGTCTGCCAATTCGATGGATGTGGATTGAGCGGATTGACGGATAGATGCGAATTAGTTTGACGGTTTAAAATTTTATAAATTTTCAAAATAATTCAACTTGTGCACTTTTTCAAAAAAAAAAAAAATTACAGTTAATAACTTAAAAAAAAATTACAATCTGTACATGTCTCATCCACATATTACAATCACAGCATGCTTCATCCACATAAAATATTACAATATGTGGTTCTTAAAATATAAAAATAATTCAAACCACCAAAATCATGAACACAACAATAGTAAAGATTGTATTCCTTTGTATTGTTACATCTATATCTATTTTTTAAAACAAAAACTAACCAGCATAATTCATCTTTTTTATTTATTATTTTTAGAGTTAAATTTAAAAATCAAAAAATATAAATAAACAATACATTTATTTTTTTCAATTCAAAAAATATATTCAAATCGAAAACTTTTTTTTCACAAAATATTTAAACTATTTTTCAATTGAAAACACAAACTGAATATCTAAACAAATTAAAAATATAAAATCTTACAAATTATTAGAGGTTTGGCGATTCGGTTGCGGCCAAATGAATCTCAAATCCGCCATTCGTCCAAAACTAGGCGAATTGGAAAAAAAAATCAATCTGTAACTGTTCGTTTGTCATCACGCATCCATCCAAAATTAGACAGATCAGTTCGATTCAGTAGGTTTGGACGGATTGATATATCCGCTGCTTACCCCTAATTGCTTCTCTTCTCATTGACTTCTTTAATCATTTTAAGCCTTCACTCGTCCTATACACAACAAAAATTTTTTGGTATAAAAATATACGTAATTTTTTTCACTATGTAATGATCTTTACACTTTATATAATTGAAAATTTCATTTTTATAGTAATTGTTATCTAATA